CCTCATTTTTCCCCTCCCTCCCCGCTCCCCACTCCCTCATGAGCTCTTGATAATTTATAAATTATTATTTTGTCATATCTTACCCTGTCCTACGTCTCCCTTCACCCACTTTTCTGTTGTCCATCTCCCAGGGAGGTTATATACAGATCCTTGTAATCAGTTCCCCCTTTCCACCTCCCCCTCAGTATTGCCACTCTCACCAGTGGTCCTGAAGGGATTCCCCGTGTTTCCAGTTCCTATCTGTACCAGTGTACATCCTCTGGTCTAGCCAGATATGTCAGGTACAATTGGGATCATGATAGTGGGAGGGGGGCGGGGAAGGAAGCATTTAGGAACAAGAGGAAAGTTGTATGTTTCATCGTTGCTACACTGCATCCTGACTGGCTTATCTCCTTCCCGTAACCCTTCCGTAAGGGGATGTTCAATTGCCTACAGATGGGCTTTGGGTCTCCACTCCGCACAACTCCTTATTCACAATGACATAATTTTTTGTTCTGATTATGCTTGATCCCTGATCCCTTCGACGCCTCGTGATCACAAAGGCTGGTGTGCTTCTTCCCTGTGGGCTTTGTTGCTTCTGAGCTAGATGGCCGCTTGTTTACCTTCCAACCTTTAAGACCCCAGACGCTATATCTTTTGATAGCCGGACTCCATCAGCTTTCTTCGCCACATTTGCTTATGCACCCATTTGTCTTTAGCAATTGTGTCAGGAGCGTGAGCATCATGGAATGCCAGTTTAATAGAACAAAGTGTTCTTGCATTGAGGGAGTAATTGAGTGGAGGCCCAATGTCCATCTGCTACCTTAATACTAAACCTACAAATATATGCACATAGATCTATTTCCACATCCTCATCTATAACTATATTTACATATGTACACTTCTTTATTTAGATCTCTATAAATTCCTTTTGCCTCCTAGCTCTTTCCTCTATTTTCTTTGACTTTCCTCTTGTCCCACTATCATGTTCAGCCTTCATTTGGGTTTCAGTAATTCCTCTTGGTTACATTACCCTTGGTCACGTCCTACCAGGCCTCCTACACCCTCCTCACCACTGATTTGGATCACTTGTTGTTCCCTTGTCCCTGGGTTTGTTAACACCACTTCCTTTCCCCACACCTCTACCTCTCCCATGTCCCCCCGGAACTGTTGGTTCCATTGTTTTCTCCTCCAGATTGTTCATCCAGCCTATCTTATTTAGACATACCTGCAGAGATAATAGCATGCACAAAAACAAGACAGAGAAAAACCAGCAACAACATACAACAAAAGAACAACAACAACAAGCCAATGACAGTAAACAAAACAAAACAAAACACAACAACAAGAAAAAAAAGCTTGTAGTTAGTTCAAAGACCGTTGCCCTTTAGGAGTGTTTTCCAGTCGAGTTTGTTGGGAAGTTTCATAGAACTGGTTCCTATCTGTGTCCATCCCACCACCAGGAAAGGATAGCAAATGATTGAGAGAAAACTGTAATTCCCAAGATGCCAGGGAAAAGGCTGCAAAGTCCATCTTCTCCAACCCCCAATCGTGGAGGCAGAAGGAGAAAGGCCAAGCTGCTGTAGGAGCAAGGGATAGTGAAGACCTTAAGCTGCTGAGGCAAGCAGGTCTGGTTTAGAACCTGGATTAGAACAGTTCTGCATTTTAATTTCTTAATCTGTGAAACGGGGATAAAAGTAGCACCATTACATACAGCTGTCATGAGGAGTAAATGAGAAAATATATGTACAATGTTTCATTGTGATAGTTTTTCTCCAATATGGCCACTATTGAGCCTTCCCTCCTTTTATGGTACATGAATTGAGGCTAGTTTATGACATTTTGTAAAACCAGACCCAAGGTCGTTGAGCTAATTATACTTTATAATAACCCTATATGCGATTTCTGAGGCTGCAATCTTACAGGAGCAGACAGCCTCATCTTCCTCCAGAGAAATGGCTGTTGGCTTTCAACAACTCACCCTGTGGTTAGCAGCACAATGCCTAGCCAGTAGAATTCAGCAAATGTGACATGGGGGTAATTATGGTACTTTAAAGAAAACTAGAAGGTTTTAATTTCTTCCTCTTGGAATATTTCCTCTCAGAATACAAACCATGTTGTAAAAATTCCAAGTGTTTAATCACCAGGTCGCTATCAAGAAGCAACATCCAAACCCAAAGAACCAAACAACACATAGCCACACTATAGGACAAAGTGGAACTGCTCCCTAGAGTTTCTGAGGCTGTCATTCTTTAAGGGAGCAGGCAGTCTCCTCTTTCTCTCACAAGAGTGACTGATGAGTTGAGGCTGACCTTGTAGTTAGTAGGCCAACACGACCTACTACACTACCACGGATCCAACTCTATCCATCTCTCGCTCTCTCTTCACACACACACACACACACACACACACACACACATTCAGAAAGTACTAATTTATAGCATTTTTCTATTTTCATTATGTAAATAACATGGCTGAACAGAAACTACAACGTGTCTTCACTGAGTATGAGGTTGTTTAAGAGATGCACCACACAGATACAATAGTCATCAATAATCATTAAGAGTGAAGATTAGTTAAGATGTTGCAAAACGATTAGGAAGTGATGAGTTTTAATATTACTATGGTTTTTAATAGAATTTATTAAATTATAAGTTTATGTAATTTACTTTTAAATGATTTTTTAAATTCCTGTAAATTTAACAATTGTTTCTCATCAGCGGTACAAGCTGACTCTAGATACAGCAACACACCAGTGAGCTCTAAGCCACAGGAGAGGTCCTATATAGTGACTGCATTCATCAACCCAACTGGTTCCTAGCTCATGGTCAAGTGTATCAAACTGCTAGCCACGTGTGGGAGCTATCTTGGAGGTTCAGCCCAATCTAGTGTTCAGATTGCTCCATCCCCAGTTCTTATCTGACTGCAACTGTATGAGAAAAAAAATCCCAGCTGAGCCTGGTCAATCCACAGAATCATGAGAGACAATAATAAACTGTCATTTAAAGGCATTGAATTTTGGGGTGGTTTGTTATGCAACAATAGATAGTAAGAACATTGGCTTAGAGAAAGTACCTAATAAATAACAATCTCATCATGGTGCTTATTGTTATAATTACCAGCAGATTCAGTGTAGCAGTATTTCAAGCAAAGAGGATTTATTTATTCTACAATTAATTAAAGTGGATTCCTTTTATTGCCTTTGCTTGGAGACCTAGACTTTTTACACAGTGGGGGCAATTTGTGCAGAGTTTTACTTTAGAAACTATATGATTCCATATGAAAAGTCAATAATTACTTTCCACAATACAGTTAGTCTCCCATTGACCTGTTGTTTACTTTCATTCTGCCACAGCAGGGATTGCATGAAGTGAAATCACACCACTGAAGCCCAAAGAATGATGACCCCAGGCAGGCAGCTCCGGTTATCCCATTTACAGGAAAGCCTCAGCAATTGAATAAGAGCAGTGGAAAGGTCCGGGAAAGAGCTCACTGTCGGTTTCTTTCATCCTGAGACTTGCTGTTTTCTCAGTTGCTTGCTTTAACTGACCATAAGATAAATACAACAGTGACAAAAAATATTAATGTAGATGCAATTAACAGATGTACTCAATTTCCCCTCCCTCCTTACCTCAGGGAGAACCAGCTATGCCATTGTATGTCAGAGTGTTATTTGCATGGCTGGGGTAGGGGGGTAAGTGTAGAATAAGAAATGGGCAGGGAAACTAGAGTGAGTGGAAAAAAGGCTGTGTCGGTGGTAAAGTTTGGGGGTTCGTGGAGTAGAAGAAAGAGGTTCAGGAGACACCACCAACTGTGGAGGATATTGAAAGACAGAGAGACTGGCAAAGTGAAAGGGAGGGTGAGAGCCAGAGAAAGTTGAGACTGTCTAGTCAAATACAGATTTGTTTTGTTTTCTCCAAACGGCACTGGTTATTTGTAATCATCTAACACAGGTTACAAGTGTTGTGAGTGTCATCTCTCCCTGAAAATTTTCACAACAGATTGTATCTTTCCATTATTTTCTCTTGTGTTTGTGGAATTGGCTTGGGGGTGCTTTATGCTAGGAGGGCACCACAAGGGAGCTCACCTTTTTATGAATTGTACTGAACTCAAATCTAGTTTGCTTACCAATGACCTCAACTTTCAAAGTGGGTGATGATGCAAACAAATCAACTATCATAAAAGCATTTGTGAGATAATGATATAGTTATGACTGGATCATTTGATGATTGTTGAGTCATGTGGTTAAGTTTTAAAGAAGTGAAACTGGTATTGTGTCTATGACCCAAAAAAGTCCTTATGTTTTAAGACACATTATAAAATATGTATGGATGAAATTATATGGTGCCTAGGATTGCTTTAAAATAATCTTGAATAATAATAATGATAATAATAATCTGGAAGTGAGAGAGGAAAGTAGGTTGGAGAGTAGAAAAAAATATTAGCAGTGCATGTTTAAATTGGGTGATGGTATATAGGGATTCATTATACTATTCTTTCTATTTCTGTGCATACTCGAAAACTTTTATAATAAAAAATGAAGAGAAAAAGTGAGTGAAAGAATATCTATTGTTTTCACACTCCAAAGAACTCAATTGCATTGCTTTGATTGTTATGAGGTCCGTATTTGCCTTGTTATGCGGGTTGCTGGTTCTTCACAGAAAAACAGTCTCTACTCTAGATCATGAAAACATGACTTTATGTTTGCTGATATTGAGTACTGGTGGGATCTAGTTAACTCAATCCAGTACTCAGAAGTCTTAATTTAATTAGAATCTAATTCTAAGATAATTTGACAGTGACAAAAGGGCTTCCATGGTACCTTTAAAAAAAGGATTTTTTAAAAAAACGTAATTGCTGTGTTACATTCCGGAACTACATCTATTGGAGAAATTGAGGTTCAGCACTTACCTTTTTAAATCTTTCTTAGCACGGTAAGTATTTTAAAGGAAAGGAAGCATGGCTCAAAACTAAGTCTGACAGACTATGTGTTTCATCTCCCTCCTCCCATTTCCCCCCAGAGAATGCAGACGATGTTGCAGTGCACATTTTAAATTTGATAAATGAATCCCCACCTCTGGATGAAGAAGAAATAAAGATAATTGTGTCTAAAGTATCTGATATTTCACAATGTAATGAAATAAGTATGAACCTAACCCAGATTATATTACAAATAATCAATGCTGTTTTGGGAAAACATACCGATTCAGCATCTGACTTGCATGAAGTGAGCATTGAGTAAGTACTGAAATTTTTGGCAAAATCAATTACTTAATAAAATTTAAATTTTGTATGATTAAATATAATGACTTAATCTGTCAGCCAGTCATCAACAATCTTAAAGGACAGGTTGTTATGGATTGAAAGCTCAGTACAATGCAATGGGTTCTTTTTTACTTATATCCCAATTGTAAAAGAACAGTTTCAAAGTCTAATAATAATAGTGACTTCCCCAACACATTTAAAAAAAAACCCATTTGCTATGGACTTGACTTTGTCAGACTATAGAGTTGACACAGGACTCTACTTGTGTCAGAGTAGTACAATGCGCCACATGGTTTTCAATGGCTGATTTTTCAGAAGTAGATTCATTGGGCCTTTTCTGAGCCGCCTAAGGGTAGACTCAAACTGTCCATCTTTCCGTTTGCAGCTAAGTGTGTTAAATGTTTACACCACCAGGGATATCCATCTAAATAGTTACCCTTACCCACTGCTGGTGAGGCACTTCTGACTCTAGTGACCCTATGGGACAGAGTAGAACTGCTCCATAGGCTTTCCCAGGCTGTAACTATTTATGCAAATCAATCTTTCTGTTGTGGATCAGCTAATGGGTTCAAACTGCCAACCTTTCAGCTAACCATTGAACCATAAAATCGCCTTAATAAACTAAACTTCTGATTTGCTTCAAACTAAACTTCCAATCTATTCTTCCATGCCCATGACTCCAGTGTCCCCCATTTCTGTAGTGTGTACCACCCAGTGCTTAGACTAGCGATTCTCAACCTGTGGGTCGTGACTCCTCTGGGGGCCAAACGACCATTTCACAGTGGTCGCCCAATTCATAACAATAGCAACACAATAGTTATGAAGTAGTACCAAAAATAATTTTATGGTTGGGGGTCACCACAATGTGAGGAACTGTATCAAAGGGTCGCGGCATTAGGAAGGTCGAGAATCACTGACTTAGACCAAAAAAAAAAAAAAAGAGACTAATAATAGTTACTTCCCTTTACATCACAGCCATTCAATAATTAAGTCTTTATAATTATTATTATTAAACTTTTATTCGTGATATAGGTGAAAGATTACAGAGCAGATCCTGTGATTTACATTCACATCTACATGAATGTGCATTTTGTTTCAAACTATCAATTTAAATCCCTTCGATGTAATAACACTTATCCCCCGTCTTCCCAGTGTTTCCTATTTCTGTACCTCCTTCTTCCCTAACCCTCTGTCCTTGGGTAAATGCTGTCCTTTTTATCTTAAGAGGTTGATTATTTCAAAAAGGTGGGTTCAGTTCTCAGTTCTGAGGGTTCTCTAAGGTCCATAGTTGTAGGGTCCCATCAGTCTGTATCTGACCAATAATCCTGTTTTTTTTTGTGTGATTTTGAGTTCTGTTCCACATGTTTCTTCCACTCTATCTGGGATAAGAGCAGTCGGTAGTGGTAGTCAGGCACCATCTGATTTTTCTGGTCTCAGGGTTGGTAGACTACAGTTTGCATGGTCTATGTGTTTCTATGTGTCTTTTAATTTTAATTTTAATCATTCTTATTCCCTTCTGACTGGGAGAGACCAATATTTGCACATGAGATTTTAAGACCCAAGCAACTACTGACCAAAGCAGGATGTATAGAACATTATATTTATGAATTATGTTATACTAATTGACCTTGGTATCCCTAGAACTATGATTCTGAGCTTCCAGATAATAATTAAGTCTTGTATGAGGCACTGTGCTTGAATTTTTAAGAAATTCCTGTATTCATTTCCTAGGGCCCTAAGAAATGACCACAAAGTAGGTGATGCAAAACAACAGAAATGTTTCTATAACTTTAAAACCAGTGAGTGATCTTATCTAATAATGTCAGAAATTGTGATTTAGAACCCAAAGAAAACCCTTGAGTAAATCTTGTCAGAAAGATGGATTGTGCATCCAGAAGGTAGAGATACTTCTCACTATCTGTGGTTCCTTGCAGAATTCTGAGGATAATTGATCGTGCTGGTCACAAAATGGAATTTTTTGGGAGGACAGCGAATCTGACAGTGGCCAGGCTGGCTTTGGCTGTGCTGCGGGTGGACCACACGTTTGAAGGCATGGCCTTCAGCATTCGTTCTTATGAAGAAGGTGCCGACCCTGAGGTGAGTGTAGCACAGGGGATTGAGAGGCAATTAAGATGAACTTCCTCATGCACTGGTAACGTTTCCGTTATACAAATAACCCAGGGAACAGTTCTTAGTAGGCGAACGCCTGGGCTGGAATGTTGTCCATGAGATGAACCATGACACCACATTGGGACCCAAAATCATCTCCAGTGTCACTTTATTACTAGCTTTCATTTTGGAGTACTTATTATATGAAGGTAGGTTAAAAAAGGCATAATTATTAGGAGCTTGGGTTACACATTGAGCTGCTAAACACAAAGTTTATGGTTTGAACCCACCAGCCACTCCACGGGAGAAAGAAAGATGAGGCAGTCTAATCCTGTAAAGATTTAAAATCCTGCAAACCCAGAGGGGCAGTTCAACTGTGGCCCATTGGGTTGGAATTAACTCAATGACAGAGAGTTCTGTTTGGAGTTTGATGAAGGTTTCCGTTCATACATACACAGATTTGCTGCAAATGTAATGTATATAAATATATCTTTTCAATCAGTAGATGCCTGCAGATAACTTATTTGTCTTAGTCTCATTATGAGGTCTTCAAAATGGAAGTATTTACCCAAGGACAGAAATGAGGAAAGTTAGGAAAGAGGGAAACAGGAAACAGAAAGGGAATAGAAGTGGATATTCTACTGAGGGGGTTGCAATTAATGAGATGAAACAAAAATGTGTATGAATTGTGAAACGGTATGAATGTAAAAATGCTAATCTGTTCTGTAAACCTTCATCAATTCGCAATGAAAAGTAAAAAAAGAGAAAAGATTCTATTAAAAAAGTGGTTTATGCCTTCAGGGCTGGTTAAATTCCATTGCAGAGGTCAGCTCAGAAAGTTATGGTATCAGTTGTTTGGGGATTCCAAAGGAAACATCTTGATATATTTTCTCAAAGAACACGGGATGATCATGGATGCTTATTAGGAAGAAGTTTTAAGAAAATTGAAAACTACTCGGTGAGAAAAAGCCAGGAAAGGCATGCTGAGATTTTCCCCATCACGACAATGCCCTCATTCTTTGAAGGCAGGACGAGCTTTCTTATTCAACAAAGCATTGTTACTGAGAGTGGGTGTTAGACTTTGTCAAATGCCTTTTCTTCATGCATTGAAATTATCCTGTGGTTCTTTTCCTTTGTATTATTTATGGATTGTGATGAGAGTTGTATGAGTCCCCAGTAAAATGATTTTTGAAACTTAATAAAAAACAGTTTTTATAATCAAATATTGCTTTAATAAATCATTTTATTGGGGGCTCTTACAGCTCTTATAACAATCCATAATCAATTGTATCAAGCACATTTCTACATATGTTGCCATCACATTTTCAAACCATTTTCTTTCTATTTGAGCTCTTGGTATCAGTTCCTCTTTTTTTCCTCCCTCTTCCACCCTTGTGACCCCTTGATAAATTATAAATTATAATTATTTTCATATCTTACCCCATCCGCTATCTCCCTTCACCCATTTTTCTGTTCTTCGTCCCCCTTGGGGTGGGGGTTAATACATTTATCATTGTGATCAGTTCCCCCTTTAAACACTAAAAAGAAAAAGTAAAAAGAAAAGCCAAGAACCAAGTATACATGAGCCTTATGGGGGTATGATCTATTCTAGTCTGCTCATAGATAATATATATATATATACATATATATATACACACACACACACACACACATACACACACACATATATATGTATATATGCATATATATATCACCACCTGTATTTAATAACAATAACACTAGAGTAAACTTGAAATCTAGCAAATTCCCCAAACATATCCTTCATATTCAAAATTGCTTTAAAAGTTCTAGATACCTGGCTATTCTATACATATATTTTAAAAATCTTTTTATTGGGGGCTCTTACATCTCTTATCACAGTCTATACATCCATGTTGCCATCATCATTTTCAGAATATTTTCTTTCTACTTGAGCCCTTACTAAAAGCTCTTCATTTTTTTCATTTTTTCTCTACCATCCCTCCCTCATGAACCCTTAATAAATTATAAATTATTGTTTTCATATCTTACATTGTCCACTGCCTGCGTTCATCCACTTTTCTGTTGTTCATCCCCCTGAGGGGTGTTATATGTTGATCATTGTGATCGGTACCCCCTTTCCCCCACACCATCCCTTTGCCCTCCTGATATCACTACTCTCATTATTGGCCCTGAGGCATTTGTCTGTCCTGGATTCCCTGTGTTTCCAGCTCTTAACTATACCACTGTATATGCTCTGGTTTAGCCAGATTTTTAAGGTAAAATTGGGGTAATGTTATTGGGGAGGGGGCATTAAAGAACTAGAGGAAAGTTGTATGTTTCGTTGGTGCTATACTGCACCCTGATTGGCTCATCTCTTCCTTGTGACCTTTCTGTAAGAGGATGTCCAACTGTCTACAGATGGGCTTTGACTGTCCTTTCTGCCTTCCCTTTCATTCGCATCGATATTATTTTTTGGTTCTGGGTCTTTGATGCCTGATACTTGATCCCATCAACACTTCATGATAACACAGACTGGTGTGATTCTTCCGTATGGGCTTTGTTGCTTCTCTGCTAGATGGCTGCTTGTTTATCTTCAAGCCTTTAAGACCCAAGACGCTATATCTTTTGATAGCCAGGCACCATCAGCTTTCTTCACCACATTTGCTTATGCACCGATTTCATCTTCAGCGATCATGTCAGGCAGGTGAGCATCACAGATTGCCGGGTTATTAGCACAAAATGTTCTTGCATTGAGGGATTACTTGAGTAGAGGCCCAATGTCTGTCTGCTGCCTTAATACTTAACATATAAATATGTGGACATAGACCTATTTCCCTATCGTTAGCTATAAGTATATTTACATGTGTATATGCCTATAGTTAGCCCTCCATAAATGTCCTTTGCCTCCTAGTTCTTTCCTCTATTTTCTTTTATTTTCATCTTGTCCCACTATCATGTTTGGCCTTCATTCAGGCTTCAGTAATTCCTCTTGGCTACATTGCCCTTGATCAAGCCCCACCAGGTATCCTACACCTTCCTCGCCATCGATTTTAGATCACTTGTTGTTCCCTTGTCCCTGGGTTTGCTGACACCTCCCTTCCTTTCCCCCACCTTCCTCTTTCCCATCTCCCCCTGGAACCATCAGCCCTGCTGGTTTCTCTTCCAGATTGTTTATCCCGTCTATCTTATCTATATAGACATACAAAGATAAGTATAAAAATGAGACAAAGCAAAACAACAAAAGAAAACAAAACAACAACAAAAAACCAATGACAAAATAAGAAAAGCCTATAAATAGTTTCAAGTCTGTTTGTTGACATTTAGGAGTGTTTTCAGGTCAGGTCTGATGGGGTGCCACATCCTGGAAACCAAGTCTCTTTTTGGTATTCCCTGGGGACTTCATTGCTTTGCTCCCCTTGCTGCTCTGTTGCACACCCTTAGCGTTTCACCCTGGTGTGGTGGGGTCAGATGGGACACAATTCCCGCACTGTGCCTCCAGTGTTGGCCCCTGTAGCACTATGGGTCAGTGAGGGACGTTGTGTCTGGTGGTAGGGCCGGCCCTGTGGTCCTTTCTGTGCATTGGCTGCTCTGAGCGGGAGCATTGTCCTCAGGGCTTGGTGGGCTAGGATGTGTTCTACTCTTTCTCCTTCCCTCTTCATTTCCTCTTGTGTGCTCTGATCAGATGCACCCCTCTCCCTGAGCTGTAGCTTCAGTTATGTCCTCTGAAGTGCATTCTTCTGGGTGAGTGGGTGGGGTGTCAACGTAGTTGGGATTTGAGGCTGGCCCCCCAGACCACTCTATTGGTTTGCTGCTTCATGCCAGGATGTTGCATTCCTGTCTTGGTACACTGGGTTGAAGTCTGGTCCTTCTCTCCCTCTCCTGTGGAGATATAAACAATACCCTCCCCTTGGGTGGGTTAGTGCCCTGTTGCCCCACTACCCATGTCCCTTTTTTTCCCTTTCCCCCTCCTTTTTAGTTGGCTGTCATATGTATCCCTGGATTGGGTCTGGCCCCTGCCATAGTACCTGGACCTCACCCCAGGAATGTCTATACATATTTTAAATCAACTTATCAGTTACTCAAAAGACCCTTCTGAAATTTTGATTGGTGTTGTATTGATTTTATGACTTATTTAGGAAAAGCAATGGACTTGCGTCCTTTTATCTTGTGATCTAGCTTATCTTGCATATTAGTTCTTTGCAACTTTGTAACTTTCTCAACATTCTTATGTACTTCATCCTAAGTCTATAAATATTGTATGACCTCTCTCCTACCTGTGGTACACCTTTGTCTGTTATTATATTATGATTATTATTGAACATATTTATTATGTAGGGGATATATGTCTATGTATTTCATATGTATATAAAGTTAAGCAAGAAAATGCTAAGTAATAAATTATTTTTTAATTAGAAAACGTAAATCTTCATATTACAATATATCTTTCCGAGTTGATTAAAAACATTCAAACTCACTGCCATCAAGTCGATGCCAACTCATAGTGACCCTAGAGTATTTAAATGAGAGAATGTGTACAAGGATGGTCATATAATATATTGTACCTGGAAGAAACCATAGTTTATAACTATCCCAGTATTTGTCAAGTATCGTTATCAATCAAATCAGCAAATTCTTATGCTAGTGGGCCTTTGGAAGAATTCCAATGGGCTAGTGCCCACTTCCTTGCCACCATATATCTGTGTATCTATAATTATGGCAAATATATATGTAACAAAACATCTGCCATGTTACCAAGTTTATATGTGTAATTTAATGACATTAACACTGCTCCATAAACTGTGAGAGAAGTACCTAATACTATTATGTTGCCCTTTCTCTGTCTCTGTCTCTCTCTCTCTTTTTACCCCTTTCAGAAATATGGAGGAGGGTAAGCAGTGGCCTGATTTCAGAGATTGGCTTTTATTTCTGAGAATTAGGACAAATCAAGTAGTGTGGATGTGGAACTAGGGCTGGGGTGGGAATTGAAGTTGTGAAAGACTTTACTACAATAAATTAGAATATCAACTTCTGTTTTTCTGGCTTTTCATGGCAGATTTACCTAGGTGAAGTCCCTCTGGGAAAGACTTTGGCTTCCATATATTTGCCTAAATCACTGAGGGAGAGAATTCCTCTTCACAACTTACAGACCATCTTGTTTAATTTCTTTGGCCAAACTTCACTCTTCAAGGTAAGCTTTTGCCTCCCGTAACGAACTGTCATGGGCTGACTCACTGTAATTAAGAACTCTTTCTATTTTCATGATGTGTTGATTTTGAATATGCTTTCTGATTTATCCCACAAATCTTCCAGCACAACCCTTGGCCTTCAATATGAATCAACATCTACGTTAATTATGTTACATTAACATTTTTTCACAGCTTCTCAGCACTGGTAAGAAACTTAAAGATTAATCAGTGGTCATACAGGTGCCTCGAGAAGTTTCAGAGCCAGAAAAGAACAGCAAATTCTGCTGATGGAAAGCTATTTCAGCTTGCCAGTGTTCTCCCAAATCTCCCCTGGCTCCTATCCACTCTCTCTGGCCACATTTACTTGAAGCCAGGTGTGTCCACTAGTACATCCACCTACAGGCATTCGTTCTTCCTTCCCGCAGCTTCCACAGAATCTTCCCTGAGGGCTCCAGTCCTCACCCAGGATTAAAACATAAAGGCAAAAGGATGTGGTGGTTAAGGGTATGGAACTTGGGGCCAAACTGTTTAGAGATTGGCTTTACTGTGTTCTACCTGTGGTACCATGGGCAAGTTACTCAACATGTATTTGCCATAGCTTCCTCTTCTGTAAAAGAGAGTAATAATAGTACCTCATCTGGCTACTCTGGGTGGTACAGACAGTTAAGTGCATGGTTAGCAACTGAAAGGTTGGTGGTTTGAGTCAACCCAGAGGTGCCTCAGGAAAAAGTCATGATGGTCTCATTCCAAAATCTCAGCCATTGAAAACCCACCTCTGAAACACATGTCTTTATAAGGTGGAATTAACTTGATGAATACTGTTTTTTTTGTTTTGTTTTTGTGGTGTTTTCCCCCTTTAAATAGGGTTGTTCAATGATTAAGGTGGTTAACACATATAAAATGTTTAGAACATTGCCAATCACATAATAAGTACAATGTGAGGGTTTTTGTTTTGTTTTAAATTGGGATGAAGGTTTACAGAGCAGATCCATTTTCCATTTAACAATTCTTACACGTTTTGTCTTATCTCATTGATTGCAATCCCCACAGTGAAGTAATATTTTTTCTACTTTCTCCCTGTGTTTCCTTTTTTATTTCTCCTTTCCTAGTCCTTCTGACATTTATCCTTGGGAAAGTGCTGCCTTTTTTATCTCAGATGGTTGATTATTCTAAGATGTGCATGTCTCTCCTGTGTTACTGTTGTTAAGGTGTGGTCAAGTCACTTCTGACTCATCCTAACCCTATGTCCAACCGAAGGAAACACTGCTCAGTCCTGGGCCATCCCCACACTTGCTGTTACACTTGAGCCCATTGTGGAAACCACGGCTCAATCCATTTTGTCAAAGTTCGTGCTCTTTTTGGTTGATTCCTCCACTTACCAAGCATGATGTTCTTTTCCACAGACCAGTCTCTCCTGGCAATTGCCTGTCGGTTTGTCATATGGGGAGGCTTACGTGTTGCTGTGACGCTGGAAGCTATGGCATCAGTGTTTCATATATCATCAGGGTCACTCATGGTGAACAGGGTTCAGTGGAGTCGCCAGACTCAGAACAGCCTAGAAACGAGGAACAGATGATCTGCTTCTGCAGGCTTATCCACTGCATAAGAGCAGAATATTGTTCCCCTATAGACTTATCTATTGTTTGACTGAAAATTGAGCCATGGGGGCTATTTTATTTCAAGACCTGAAGGGTGACTATAGGCCATAATCTTGGGGGTTCCACCAATCTCTGTTTAACCAGTAAGCCTGTTCTTTTTTATGATTTTCAGTTTTTTTCCCCAACATTATTCTCCAATTCTGTCAAGAACCATTTGATGTGATCCCTTTCAGAGCAGTTGGTAATAGTAGCTTGTTCTTCTTGACATCATCTTGTTCTTCTTGACATAGAAGTTTTTGCTTGACTGTTATTATAACCTTATCTTGGACCTCTGGCTTAACAAAAGGCCCACTCCTTTATTCCACCCAATGTCAACTAGCTATTGAGAATATTGTAATCTAAGTTTGTGTGATATTGATGATGATGATGTCTATTAATGGATAATTTTGCCCAAGGTTACATAGCTAAAAAGTGGCACAACTCAAAATCACGACCTGGCTGTCTGACCCCAAATCTCATGTATTTATGAGTTCAATACAATTAATTTATCCAGATGTGCTTGCATTTCCAAGGAGGCTATCCAAAGGAATTAATTTCCAATAGTTAAATAGTTTTTGTGGGGGCTATAGTACTGGGACAACACATATACCCATGAACCATCACTATTATATAGGATGTTTCCTTCTCCTGGTATTCTCTAGCTGCTCCTCTGTCTATCTAAATTCTATTTATTCCTGTGGGTGTGAATAAATACCACCTAAAAAGCCTGCCTGGAGTTTGTGAACCCTTATTCTCTCCCACTTTCACTGTTTATATTCTTGTCTTACATTTCTGCTCAGTTGTTACGCTGGTTTCCCAAGTGGGTTGTGACATATGTTAAGTGTCAGGTATGTTTTATTCCTCAGGCAACTCAATACAAGGCTAAGAACTCAGCATGATTTTAGTAAATATGTGTTGATTGAGGTTTTTTAATAGGAGAAAAATAGGCTAACCTTAAAATAAGCTCATTAGTGAGCAGGAGTTTTAATTAAAATGAAAAAAATGTTGTGCATAGTCCTCTGATCCCTCTGATAGGCTTATAATTTCTCTGTATCATTTGAGATATCATGATCTTGTTCTTAATCTCTCTCATTTCTTCAGAGGTCTGATTTCATCTCATAAAATAAGACCTAAATTTGTTTTGCATAGATTTCAAACTTAATAAGTAATTTTCATTTACTCACAATTTCCGTTGAAAGACATTGCATATCTTTTCCCAAATTAGACTACAGACAGATGTCACAGTGCTGAAAGGAGGATTAGAACTAGCCTTCCTTCAAATTCAAAGGTGTAAGGCACCCTCTAACTCATTACGTCCCATCTCCTCATTTTACCAGTGAGGAAACAGACCCGAGAGGGAAGAGGCCTGCTGAACGCGACAAAACTTGTTCATTTATGCACTCATTCATTCCATTTTTTTATTCAGCATTTATTCAGTTCCTACTATGTACCTTGTGTGGTGTTAGATTAAATGGTGATCAAGAAAGATGAGGTCCCTGCCTGGGTGGTACTTCCAGTATAGTAAGAGAGGGATAACAGAGACCTACTGAAGTGGGTGACCCAAAGTTGGGTCCTGGGCACTTATACAAAGTGCACCCTCTTTAGCTTCCTTTTCCCTGAGTTTCACAGCCTTGCTTTAACTCTGTTTCTTTGCAACATCTTTTGATAAAAACCTTAGCTGCCATTATAACATTGTACCTTAAAAATCATTGACATTACAGCGCTCTTGGAAAACACGGACCTCCCACTGCTCCAGTAGCTGCAGTGCTCAGAGACAGGGGCAAGGCTTAAAAGGCCAGTGCTATATCACACAGGTGCTTTTGGAGCACTGGGGAGGATGCCTCCCGAATCTGGGCTATCAGGATAGGCCTACTGTAAGAGAGGTCTCAGCTGAGTCTCATAGGAGTTAGCAGGTGGAAAAGGATAGGGATGAGGAGGAAGGTGTGTTCAGGCAGAGGCAGAAGCTTGTGTAAAGGTCCAGAGGTGAAATAGGCAAAGCGTGGCTTAAGCACAGAGTAAAAGGGAGTATGTCATCATTTTGTGTCATCAAGTTGATTCTGATTCGGAGTGACGCTGTGGTTCTGGGTAGAACTGTCCCATAGAGGTTGTTAAGGTTGTCAGTCTCAACAGAAGCAGACAGCCACTTCTTTCATAAGGAGTGGCTGATGGATTTGTGCCGACCTCATGGTTAGAAGCCCGGTCCATAACCAACTATGCCACCAGGACTTATGTAAAAGGAGACAGGAAAAAAGTGTGGAAAGTGCTGTTACATCATAGATATTGCAATCAGTATCAAGAAACAAAATATGTTCAAATTGGTGAATGAACAATTTGCTCCTTAAACTTTGACTTCAATCGAATAAAAAATTAAAAAGATAAAAAAGGGAGAAAAAGCATGAAAATTGTCATTCCTTTCCTTCTGTGTTCACCATTTTGTGGTGTTGTTTGTTGTTAGATGCCACTCATAGCAACCTTCTTTCTGGACAGCAGAACGGAATCCTGCCTGGTCCTGCACCATCCTCACATTTGTTCCTATGTCTGAGTTCATTGTTGCAGCCACTGTGTCGATCCATTTGATTGAAGGCTTTCCTCTTTTCGCGGCCCCTCTACTTTACAAGCCTTTTCTAGGAAAAGATCTTCTGATAACATGTCCAAAATACATGAGACACAGTCTTGCCACCCTTGCTTTTAATGAACATGCTGCTGTACTTCTTACAAGACAGATTCGTTGGCTCTGTAGGCCGTCCACAGGAGTTTCAAGAGTCTACAGCACCACAATGCAAATGCATCCATTCTTCTTAAGTCTTCCTTATTCAGAATCCAGTGTTTGTTTACATGCATCTAAGGTGATTGAGAACATCATGTCTTGAGTCAAGTACACCTTCGTCTTCAAAGTAACATCTTTGCTTTTCAACACTTGAAAGAGGTCTTATGCAGTAGGTTTACCCAAGGCAATGCATTGTTTTGATCTCTCAACTGCTGTTTCTATGAGCACCTCCTGTGATCCAAGCAAGGTGAAATCCTTAACAACTTCAACCTTGTCTCTGTTTACTATGATGTTACCTTTTGGTGTAGTCATAAGGATTTTGTCCCCCTCCCCCCCCCCCCCCCCCGCATTAAGTTGTAATCTATACTGAAGGCTGCAATCCTTGATCTTCATTAGCAAATGCCTCAAGTCGCTCCTACTTTCACCAAGCAAGGTTGTGTCATTTGCTTATCAAGGTTGTTAATAAGCCTCCTCCAGTCCAGATGCTGCATTTTTTTTCTTCCTGTAACCCCGTTTTCTAATTATTTTCTCAGAATACAGAGTGTATATATATGGTGAAAAGATACAACCCTGACATATACCTTTCTCTGATTTTAAA